CATTTTTTTTTTTTTTTTTTTAGTTTTTTGAATGTTTTTATTTATTTTGAAGGAGAGAGAGAGAGCATGAGTGGGGGAGGAACAAAGAGGGAGACACAGAATCCAAAGCAGGCTCCAGGCTCTGAGCTGTCAGCACAGAGCCCGATGTGGGGCTTGAACCCACAGACCGTGAGATCATGACCTGCCCTGAAGTCAGAAGCTCATCCGAGCCACCCAGGTGGCCCCTGTTTCTTTGAGTGGGCTTCTTTAGCAATGGATACATCCTTAACAGTTCATATTTCCTCCTATTCTGTACTTTGGCCCTTTTTCCTCATTAGTACAATTTTATAGAATACATTGCCATGGGATTTAGAATCATTTGGTTCGCTGTTGTTGAATAATGTCTAAAGACTTGGGTATTTTAGAAACTATTCACCTCCTGCAGAGAAACCTCTTCTGTCCTACTTTAACACTTTTCCCTAACCTGCCTGATGTAAAAATCATCTGTAATGCTTTTTACAAAGAGCTTTCTGGGTCTCAACCCGACTGGTACTAGTAAAATTTTCAGAGGCTTTTGAGTCACCACTTGGGTAATGAACCCCTTGCCCTATTCTTCTCTTGGTTAATCTGAAATTTAGTCCACTACCCACATGGTTCCATGTGAAAAAAATCTTTGGTAAGATCTGGTTTGTTACAGATAGAGGAACGGAGCTGGGGCAGTTTATTTACCTAAAGAGCCTGTGACAGAGGTGAGAATGGATAGTGCCTCAGTAAATTATAAACAAATGGGAAATTAAGGAAAAACCCTTTAGTATGGTTACAAAGGTTGCCTAGATTTCTTTTCCCTATCTCAACATATTCTGGGCAAATTAGGATTAGTGATAAAAAGTAATAGAGAACCTAGCATTTTATTGTTGTTTCCAATGTTTCAAATTACCCTTGAGATAACTGCAATTTTTATGGAGTTAAAATTTTAATTAATGTTCAATTTTTTATTTTACAGGAACAGATGTGTGCCTGTGAAGTTAGCTTGTGTAAGAATCTCATTTTCTCTTAGACTTTGATGATAAAGTTGGGAATCCATTCTTTTGGGGACCTGAGGTTTGTTTTTTCCAAAAGAATAGTTCAGAAACTCACCAAGGTAGACAGTAGGCAGTGGAACAATGAATGTCTTTTTCCTTTTTCTTTGGAAAATTTTCCAATCTATCCTGTCATCTACCCAGCTATTCAGGACAGTAAGAAGTTTCCCTGTGTCTGTGCTGTTAGCTCTATAGCTTTACTTGAACTTGTCTTTTCTCTGTATGTTTCTGATAACTCAACAGCTAGGCCGCCATTTTTATACCTCAAGATAGGTGTCACTTGTAACTCCTGAATTTGCAATGCTATAGTATCAGCAGCAAATCAGATGTTCTAAAACTTATGGAATGAGACACATCTGAATTATGATTATTTGTAAAAAAACGATTTCTAGTTTAAATCAGAGAAAGCTATAATTTGAATCTATTTTTAAGATGTAATAAGAGTTCATAAGTTCTGTGTCCCAGACTGGACACTGACCATGGAAAAGTAGATGCCTTTCTGAGCCAGCAGCTGTTGATGTGTGCCATGCTCCTTGACCTTGCCATTCTGAAACACCACTATTAGGTCTGCGTTCTGGATGGTGGACAGGCGGTGAGCGATCACGATGCAGGTGCGGCCTTCTCTGGCTTTGTCCAGGGCTTCTTGCACAATCTAATGATCAATCAGAACAGAAACCTTAAACTTTCACCATCACAGAAGAATATTTTACTTTTTATATTCTCACCTCTGAATCTTTGAGTCTTTGGTTTTAATGCATGTAAATTTACATAAATGGCATTTAAAAAGTATTTTCTTTTTAATTATAATAAAAACCGATTCCCACTAAATCACAGGTATCTAAGTTTTCTGTCCAGTTCTCTTACTTAATAGTTCCCTTTTATTATTTTCTAGTTTTTCATTATCTTATTAGTCCCCCTTTATTTCTGTTTTATTATTGTGCTAAAAATGTGATGTATGCTGCTTTTTTCTTTTGAATATTTTTGGTTTAGGAAATCAGATAATTTTACAAAATTTGGGAAAAATTTGTTTACTTTTTTTCATAGTTGATAGTGCACAAAAACTATTATGCAAATAAATGGAACATCAGGGCAGAGGCCACACCTTTTCACTTTCAGTATCCAGAGCTGATGTAGCTTCGTCCAACAGTAGGATTTGAGGTTGTCTGATAAGGGCTCGGGCGATAGCAATCCTCTGTTTTTGACCTCCTGAGAGCTGAGTCCCCTTATCTCCCACTCTTGTTTCATATTTCTGCAAGTTAACCATTAGTAAAGTTAATCAAGTCCTAACCCCCCAAAATGATTCGTGGTATACTGAATAAACTTGTACTTTGCAACATTTGACAGTTCTGCTTAACAGGAAAAAAATACAGAACAGCTACTTGGTGATCCATTTAATTTTTCCCCCCACTTAATCACGATCAAACTAGAACAAAGTTCTTTAGTTCTCACTAGTGTTCTGCAACAGAAATTTGAGCAGTAAATTCTTGAGTTCCCACCATTCTCATAATGCCAATTGATCTGATGTCTTTGCAGTCTTTAAAGGTTAAATATAAATATTTGAGTTTTAACTTTAAGGTTAAATATTCATATGGAACCTAGTGTATTCTCTTTTCAACTCATTCATTCACTTAAATATTTATGGAATACCTGTTATACCAACAACTGTGAGAAATATAAAAATGGAGGCAGCTTTTTTTTGTTGTTAACCCTGAAGGAATTTATAATGTGAAGAGATCAGCCACCTATACAGCACTCTATTTAAGGTCAAATAGGTGCCAAATGAGTAATATATTCAACATGGTATGAAAGATCAGAAGCAGCAAATAGCAACTATGGAGAGAAAGCAGGAGAACAAACAAGAGATACATGAAGGAAAGAAACCTTTGTGCATGAAGGAAAGAAGTTGGAAAGCTGCATCTTGAGAAAGAACATTCTAGGCTGGGGGGGGGGAAAGCAGAAGGAATAAAGGGCCAAAAAAGTACTGTAGGGCTTAGGCAGTAATGTGAATTTCCTCAAGTCCAATGTCAGTAAAGAGCTGAAGCTTTAGCTTTTCTGCTAATCAAATTCTATATGAGGGTCCATGACTAGGTGTTAAGGGTGAGTAAGGTTAACCAACATGGAGGGTTTGACAGTGTATGACTGTGATTGTTAGTTACAGCAGAAGAGAAAAGGTAAAAATAGTTGAGATTTATTTCAGCTTAATTCAGTGGAACCTGAGATGCTAGCTGAAACACAAGATTAATGATCCCTGCCATCACTTTCGAGTTTCAAATAATCTTTGCAGGACAACTCACCTTTACCAACTACTGGAGAAAATTGTTCCACTGAACTTTTTCTCATTTTTAAATCCATAGTGACTTAAATGCACTTTGGCTACAGACACAGTAGCTACAATAAGCTAACAAGGGAGAGTTGGGGACCATGCAAATAAGAGAATAATGCCCTCTCCAAATGAATAAATTGAAACAGTAAAGAAAAACTTTATCCGAAAATATAAAACTTAAAAAAAAAAATGGAGAAATTCTTCAAGACCTGGGGCTAGGGAAATAGCCCTGTTTGATACCAAGTGCACAATGTGTATAAAGAAAACATTAACTGGACCTTATCAAAATTAAACACTTGGCTCTGCATAGGACCCACCCTGTTAAAGGATGAAGAAATAAGCTATCGATTGGCTCAAAATATTTGCAAACTATGTATTTGACAAAGGACTAATAACTAAAATATGTAACTATCTGTCAGAACTCAACATTTTTTTCAAATTAGAAAATAATTTAAAAAAACAAGTTATTTCACCAAAAAGGAAATACAGTCTGTATTTCCAAGTAAGTATGTAAGTATGTAAAAAGATGTTCAACATTTCTCATTAGGAAACCCACCACAATGAGTTATTACTACACATCTACCAGAATTACAACAGCAAATGCTGGCAAAGATGCAGAGAAGCTGTAATTCACACCTGCCGTAGGAACACAAGATGGTACACTCTGGAAAACAGTTCAGTTTGTTAGAAAACTGAACACACAATTACCATATGGTCCAGCAACTGCACTTGTGGCGTGTATCTGAGATATAAAAACTCCAGTTCATGCTAAAACCTGTACAGTAATACTTAGGAGATTTTAATAGCCAAAACCTAGACACAACGTAGATAGGCTTCAACAGGTGAATGGCTCAACGAGCTGGTATATCCGTACCATGCAACCTTACTCGTCCTACTAATCAGGATGGCATGGCACTAAAGAGAGAAAAAGGCATGAACTATAGAGAACAAGAACTTGCGGGTATTATGCTGCGTGGAAAAAGCTCATCTTAATAGTTTATGCATGCTTATATAGCATTCTTAGGGTAGAAAATCAGAGAAATGGAAAACTTAGTGGTTGGCCAAA